GTCCCTCTCTTCTTGTCCCTTTTCTTCTTGTTTTCCTCTCTATGTTTTGTTCTCAGCTGACTTTTCATGCTGTCTCTAAAGGAATGAAAGATTTTTTCCAAGCACTAAGCTCACTTAGCTGATTGCTCCTTCCTGTGTTTCCAAAAAGGCCAAAGTAAATAACCCAGTCCTTCTTTTCACTGTAGACAAGCCATGATCTGCTTCTCTCACTGCATGAAAAGTGAGATTTTCGTCCCCGTAAACCCCCGTGAACTCCCGCAGATCTGCCTGATTTTCGTCAGTTTCCGACAATTTGCAACCCGTGCTTGTCCGCGTTTGTCGTGCCACAAATTGTCGGAAACGGACTCTGACGTATGTGGAGAGCGATCAGCTGTACTAATGGCCCTAATTAGCATATGAATGCAGCAAACCCGCGCGGCTGGCCAGGTCTGGCTTGAATAACCTTCTCAGTATTGGCTGAAACCACTATTCTCAAACAAGTAAAATCGCTCGTGATTGGCAGCAAAACCACACGTGGCCACGCCAGGCTTTAATTTTCTTACTGAGTATTGGACGGAACCGCTTCCTTTTAAACAAGTAAAGTCGCTCGTGATTGGTTGGCATATATATATATATATTTACATATATATTTATTCATATATATATTTATTCATTCATATATATATATATTCATATATTTATTCATTCATATATTTATTCATTCATATGCTGTGTATTTATGTTATCCTACACTACTATACAATTATTATGCTACCATCAAGGACATGAATGAATTTATACAGGAAATGAACATTTGCCAGGAAGCTGTTTATGCAAAGAAAGAGCTTTATTAAAACACACACAACTATATACAACGCGTATCCAAACACATGCGTTTCTAAAAATTACAACTCCGTGAACGGTCCGTTTGCTTCATCGGGGTTGGAGGTAACAGGCAGCATTCCCTCCGAGGCAGGTCCGATGTGCTGACGCCTACTGTGTGTGGCCCTGTACTTCGGCATCGCTTCTAACCGGGACTGCAGCTTAACACAGAGTTCAGTGAGATCCGGCCTACGAAATGGTGGCGACCGTACAATCCATCCAGAGACACCGCCGCCGACGGCGGACTTCCAGAGTTCCACTTCCTCATCTGCCAACACACTCTGCCTCGCCTTCAGCAGCTGAAAAAAAAAAACAATGAATCAGCGCACTGCATACGGACACAACACATCTATCAATGCACCTGAAAAATAGTCACCAAATAAATTCTTACCATCTTTCTTCTGTCCCGACTCCGAGCAGATAGCCTGGCAGCCTCCGCACGCAGCGTGCTGGCTAGCAGCGTGTATCTGAAGCTCCTGCATACCGTCTCATAATACGTCTTACAGGCAGCTGGAAAACAAATGAGAGGTATGAATAAAAAAAAATAAAATCAAACGCAAGTCACAGTAACAAGGAAGGAGAAAACATTAAAACAAGTCACTTACACACAATGTCGTCTTTATCAACATCGTGCAAATCCGAGCAAATAGGAGGTCACCGCCTCATTGTGAGGCGACTGTAGTCTGTGAGAAAAAAAAAAGTACAGCTATGGTCGGTATCCATGTCCTTTTACCGCAGAATGAAAGCATATTCTTTAAACCTTACCCCTGCTCCGGTTCATAGCGCCTGCAATTAGTCTCCGAGTTGTTAAGACGGCATACTGATTCCTGTGAATCACAAAAAATACACTTTAATAAAGCTTTAGGCTAGGCTGCTTTTAGCTTACCTAGCTAGGCTAGGTTGCCTTTAGCTTGCCTAGCTAAGCTAGGCTGCTTTTAGCATAGCTACCAGTAATCGAACTTATATTTACCGCTAGCGTGGCGTTGTGCACCCGTCTTCTCTTCCTCGAGTTCGTATATCCCGCAAAGTTGCTCGACTGCCGAGCCGCCATCTTGTCCTCTATGGACTACAACCTGGAGTGCATCGAATTCTCCAGCGCTCATTCATGTCGGCAGTCGTTGGGCAAGCTGACGAGACAGTCCGCTGATAGCAATCAGCAGTTTCTTCTCGTCAGTCTGCGGGCTGGCCGAAAGTTGTGGACTAAGAGCAGTTGGAGGCGAGTTGAACGCGAGACGTCGTGCAGCCATTGTTCACGTAACAACAAAATACAAACACGGTAACTGGAGATTAAGTTCTTCTAAGTGTAGTAACACAAACATGTCTGCTAATATGCTGGTCTCGCGAGAAGTCGTAGTGCACAAAAGCTCACACGTGATTGGACGATGGGGCCGAAGGCTCATCAGGCTCCTCCAATCACATACGACGTCATTGTTATACGGAAGGACTCGCGAGAAGAGCTCGCGTCGCTCCATTCTGGAAGGTGGCGGTAATGCACCTATAAATTGTTTGCAATTGCAATTGTTTGTCTCCATAAGATTGAATTTGAGCAGGTGGACATTAGAGATAATAAATGCAACAACAAGTTTTTGAATCAATATTCTATAAATAATATGTACCCAGGAAGAACAAAAAGCACAGCTCTCTTACAAAATTTTAAGAAATCTATGATAGTCAAAATTAGGACAAATTATTTGAAATTCCCAATTCCTCCTAAATATAAAGAATTACAATTTAAAATAATAAATAACATATATCCTTCAAATGAGTTTTTAAGAGAGAGATTTAAGTTTAATGTTGAGAATTGTGGCTTTTGTACAACTCAATTGGAAACAACTAAACATCTTTTTTATGAATGTAAAGAAGTATTAAACTTATGGGATCAACTTCGAACCTTTCTGTCTTCTAAAACAATAAATTTAGATTTTATTTCCTGGCAAAACATTCAATTCGGTTTATCCATTAAAGAAAAAAAATTTGGAATTTTTAATCAATATTCTAATTGTAACAAAGTATTATATCCATAAATGTCGCTATGCAAAATGCTCCCTCTCAATCTCTGCTCTCAAAAATGAACTTTCCCTTTTCAAAAGATGTCTGAGAAAGATGCAGAATTTAAATGCAATTAAATTGTTTGAGTTAATTGAAGAATTTCAGTTGGTAGTCCCCACTGAATAATTTACTTTAACTACTATTATTATTTTATTTATTTTTATTTATTTTATTTTATTTTATACTTTGTTCCAGCCTGTGCATTTAATTTTATTTTTCAAAAGCAGGAGTTGTGATATTTCTTCTTGTATTGAAATATTTGTTATTGACTTGTTATTTGAGATTGTTATTGTTTTCTTATATATTCAATAACAAAAAAAAAAAAAAAAGTGGAAATCTAAAAAAAAAAATTAACCATTACAGCCAACTGATTCTGATTAAAACTAATTTTTGAAGTAAATTATTTTGTGTATTTTTTTTTACATAACATTTGCATACACAGTAATCTAGCGTACTTTAATTAAATAAATCAATTCAAGCTAAAATGTAAGAGTCTATAATTAGGCTATACTGAGCCTGATCTATTTCTACCATCTATTTGGGGGATATTTATTGCCACACTTTGGGCCACTTAATACCAATTTAGCATGCTGACCTATGTCCTTATGACCACAGTGTACCAATCTTCTGATGGCTACTTCCAGCAGGATAATGCGCCATGTTATAAAGTGAATCATCTCAGAATCATTTCTTGAAACTTTTCCACTTAAGTAATTGTGAATTGAGCATATTGACAGACAACATTTTATTTTTTATCTTAAATGCAAATTTAAAAAAAAAATAATTACTGCTCTAAATGTATTGCTCTGTCAGCTAAAGATCTGTTTTGGTCTCTATACTTTAATTAAATAAATCAATTCAAGCTAAAATGTAAGAGGCTATACCTGATCTCTTTGTATCAGAGATGTTCTTACCCAGGGTTGCAGGGGGGGTAAAACCCCCCCTGCAACCCTGGTTTGCATTTGTATAGCTCACAGCATGTTCATTAACATGTTAAAGCCTCCCCTAGAATTCCATGGGGGGGAGGCATGGGGGGAACACTGCCTAAGAAATTCCACGTCAATTTCTGACAATTTACGGGAGTTTTCGGCGAAGGTTGCAAATTGCCGTAAACTGCCGCTAACCTGAAATTCCACGACAATCTACAGTGCTGTATATTGACGAAAATCCCACTTTTCATGCAGTGTCTGTTCTCCATTTTTCATTTGGATGAAATAATAGCTGCATGAATCATGACAGCAGACAAGATAGAGGAGAGCAGGAGGCGGGGTTACCAATCTACTCGCTCTGGAGAGCAGAGTTCGCTGCTTTTAGATGTTGTCTCCAAAGTCTCTAGTAGCAGAAAAAAGTCTCTAGATTTGGCGCTAGGAGCTTTTTAGAAATCAGAGTTCTAGAGGGGTCTGAAAAGTGGCTAAATATAGCGACTAAAGCGCTAAGTTAGCAACACTGCTCTTTGCATGGTTTGTTTTCAAATGGTTTGCTGCTGTCTGTTTGGACCTTTCTGAACATGTGCAGCAAATGGACTGATCCAATATGGTGGACGCTGAAGGGGGGATGAGACACACTTAATATTATCAGCGTTCTGATGACATTTTAGAGAAAGTATTTTATCAAAAACAGTTAATGTGCACAAATAAGGAACAGTTGTGTTAACCATACATGTTAAAGGAGTTTTATGGGGCCCCCAGGAATTTTGCCCTCCTTGATGGGCCTTTGGCTGGTCCCCTTCGGTTCCTTTTTAAACATCAATCTTTGTACTAAAATAATCTTTCTGTCATGATATGTGGACATTAAGATCTAAAGAGAATCATCGTCTCCTGGTCATAGTCTATAATTCAGTGAAAATATGGAGTCAGAGTAAAAAAATATGCAGATGCTGGAAGTTTGAGGGGATTTTGCTGGAAGTTAAAGGGAAGTGGGCTGCCATTCGGCTGGAGTTTGACTGGGAAGGGTCCTTTTCAATGGCTGCTACTGAAAGGTTTTAAACTAAAACAACTTAGAAAACCAGATATAATAGATATAAAGTCATATTTTAAAATTTAAGAGTGATACTGGATGTCTCCCATTACAACTTTTGGCTTAGATGATATAAAATGCTCACAGTGATGTCTCTGTTTGCCCCTCAGGTCATTAAGGCAATAGATGAAGGCTATCGCCTGCCAGCACCCATGGACTGCCCCCCAGGCCTGCACCAGCTAATGCTGGACTGCTGGCAGAAAGACCGCGCCGAACGCCCAAAGTTTGACCAGATTGTTGGCATCCTGGATAAAATGATCCGTAACCCTAACACCTTAAAAACCCCTGTGGGCACGTGTACCAGGTAAGGAAATAAAGCCGAAATGACTCGTTTCAAAAGTGCTCTCAGCCAATAAAGAATTTCTGCTTTGATTTTCCTGCATTAATAGATGATCTAAAGTGTCCCACGGATGATTTAGCCTCTCTCGTTCAAAGATAGAAGATCATTCCTGGAGAATCGATTGGAATAGCAGCCTGTATATGGCTTTATGGTCAATATCAGGGCTTTTAGATCAATCTCTATAATGAGTTCCTGGTGCTTTGCAGAGCAGCGGGAGCGCCAGCCTTCACTCTGACATTTGTCAGATGAATTCTATTTGCACTCAGAACATACTTTGCTGAGGTGAAATTGAGCTTAGAGGTTATAACTGGTTAAAAAGCCTTTTATTATGTGGAGACTGTGTGGGAGATGATCTATTTAAATTTCACAGATATTGATAAAAATATTTTTCTAAAGTAGAAGCCCACATCTATCATCTATTTATGAGTTTTTTTCCGATCGAAGCCTCCATACGACGCATATTTTCTCCTCCTTTTTTTCCAATTTACCGCCCTGCTGGATGCCATTGGTTGCTGCTTTGTCTCGCCTCTTTGCTTGATTGTAATTTCAGTGAAACACTTCCTCTCCACATTAGACATAAACGTCTCTCTCTGTGCCCATCCTGCAGACCAATTAGCCCCCTGTTAGATCAGAGCACACCAGACTTCGCTGCTTTCCGCTCAGTGGGAGAGTGGCTGGAAGCCATCAAGATGGAGCGATACAGAGACAACTTCACAGCGGCCGGCTACAGTTCCTTGGAGTCTGTGGCCCGGATGTCAATCGAGTAAGTGGAAACGCAGCATCGTGAAAAGAAGTTAAGGAACTTCACCTTCTTTCATCCGTACTGATTCATGGGGAGAACAATGATGCAATGTTAAAGGTTGCCATTGGAGCAAGTGCATCCAAAGTGCATCTGCTTCTTTCTTCTGTGCTGATTTATAAGTGTTGGAATAATAAGGGAAAATATGATTTATATTTATTTATTATGATGTAGGAACTACAGTTTATTCTCTGGTTACTAAGCTGATTTATCCGTTTAATAGGGTGTGAGGAGCCCACAGCACCACTCCTTTTTTGTTACATGAAGACAGAAAAATACTGAAGAGAGATTAAAAAAAGCCTTAAAGGAAAAGTTCGGTCAGCAAGAAATTATTGATTTATCATTATTTATACCTAAAATGAATATTTTTGCGGTGATTTAATGAATTTAGCATTAATCAGTAAAAAATTATGATTTTGTCGCGATCACTGAGTCTGGAAGCGGCCATTTTCACCCAAATATAGTAACCCCTCCCTCCTGCCATCTTCCAGCAGTGACGTCACGGTGCGGTTAACCTAGCGCCATTCTCCCCGCTTTACAAGCTAAATCAATGGGAACTACTAGACACATCTGCAATCAACAACAATTATTGAAGATTTCCAGAGGACTTCACCATTGAAATTCACCAGAGCTATAGTGAAACTGACAATGCCCACGTGCATGGCAGCTGGATGCTGGAATACATCGAGTAAAAGTGAAAAAAAGAGTTATTCCACCTTTCTGATTCCTGATCCTCCACGGACGGGTTGGTCGTTGGATCGCCAACTTGAAGAGGGAGGATTTGCCATCGAACTTTTGGCCAGAGAAAAAACCCGTAATATGTAGCCAACATTTGGAAGAAGAATGTTTTCAAGATGACTTGGATAATAGCGCGTTGTGACAAACACCAGATACAGCACTGGGACTTGATCAACAGCCGATACCGCACCGTGACGTCACTAACCAGTAGGTGGCAGTAGTGTTCTTTGACAAACATGGATGCCTCCAGTAAAGCACATTCACAAGAAAATTACTCTGAATTAAAAACACTGGTCATTTATTGAATAGGATGGAATAATTTCAGATTTAAAGAACTTTCAGAAGTTTGAATTCTGAATGTGAGCGGACTTTTCCTTTAAAACTCTGCAGTTAGTGCCAATGTAAAGGTCTTAATCATGAGAAAAAAAAACCTCAGAAAAACCACAAATGTAACAAAATGTTTTTTGTATGCTGTGTTTTCTATACACTTAAAAACTACAAACATTGGAGGATTTCTGATAACATTTAGCTGCATTCAGGTTAATTTTTCCAAATAAACAGAATCAAGCTGAAGCCTAAATGCTAAAGACGGAGGATAATTGGACGTCAGGGGGAGGAGGATGCATGGATGCTTTAGAATGAGAAGTAATTAGAAATTAGCCGTGGGATTGGGGGGGTGGGAGCAATTAGGCATGGTCTTTTTTTTTTTTTTTCAACAATTTGTTCATTTTTTTCTTAATTTCGCTGAAGAAAAACACATGTTTAGTAGCAGTAATTTAAACAAATAATTCTAAAATATCAGATCAGCTGCACACAAGGTTTAAAAGGCTTTAAATTGGGTTTAAGTTTGAAGCAATGCTATGACACTGATGTTTCGATCCCTAATGACCGATTGACCATCTGGTGATGAAAGCACAAACCTGTAAACACAGTCTATAGGTGCCCTAAAGGGCCAAACAACTATCAGACAAAGTAATCAAAGAGTAAAGAATCCGTTGAACATTAAGCATAGATAGATGAACAGATCTTCATTGGTGCAGACAGAGCATCTGCATATCGCAGCATGAGATTGTCACTGATTAACTGAGTAGAACTTGCTTATCCCTTTATAGGGAACTCAGGGAAATACTTTGAAAAACAACATTTGAAACCAATACTATTGTTTAAATCTAGGACAAGACATTATTACCTTTGTAAGATTCAAAAAATATGGACGACAAAAACGAATGTCAATATAATAATAAGAAACGGCAACTTGGCCGAATATATTAAGAAAAATAACAAAAGTGCTTCTATAAGAAATTCATGAAAAATATGAAAGAAACAGATTTTTTTCAGTACAACATTACCTTAGAGGCATTAATCCTGATACTGGCACTTACATTTTTGGTTCATAAACCTAAATATAATTGTTAACTAGACTCAATTATTTTTCTTGACTTGTTAACTTTTTTTTTAACTTAATTTCCAGTTGATAATATATAATTCAGGTCTCATCTAATTTCTCAAATGCCAAAATAAGATTTACACCCATGTAGCAGGATTTTGGCTGGATGGCTGGATATACACTGTACAAAAATTTAAATCTCAATAAGTAATTTTTTCTTAAAATAAGTGTATTTCTCCTTGAATTGAGGAAGTTAGTTTGAAACCTTGCCAATGGAACAAGAAAATGTACATTTAAAATAAGAAAAAACTATTGCATTGTCTTATTTCAAGGGCATATTATCCAATTATCATATTCTAAGAGTAAATATACTCATTCCATTGGCAACTCATCTTATTTTTCTACTCAAATTAGGGGTAAATACACTTAATTTAGGACATGTTGTCTTATTTCTACATCGTTTTTGCAGTGTAGATCTAGTGCTTCTAGACCTCACTGAGGGGGGGTAAGGGGTCCCCCTTCTTAACGCTAACTTGCCCCATAAAGGGTTAATCCCAGCGGTACATCTGTGAATCATATGTAGAGACTCAAAGTTCTGTTTCTTGTGGTTGTTAAATATGTTTTTGGGAACATAATGAGGAAACATCAAAGGGCCAAAGCCATATTTGATAGGAAATGTATTCTTAAAACATTTTTATTGCAAAACCATCATTTTCTTTATATATGAGTTGCAAAAAAAATCCCCTTGTTATGCTGTCGGTTTATTGCCAGAGCTGTAATAATAACAGCATATTTTATTTTTCCATCTTCAGGCAAATCAGTTCGTTTTTTTTGAAGCTGATAAATTCTGTAAAGTTCAGATGTTCACACAGTCTATCTGTTCAACAAGGGTTTTCTGTGTTTTGGTTCCACCCAGAGAAGCCGAGCTCATTTATCAACAACAGCTTCATTCACGTGTTTTTTCCTAACAGAATGTATTTGTACATCCACAGGAAGTGTTATTTGCCAGCCTGCTGGTTTGCCCTGTATATTAGTTTAACACTATAAATGAGCTCTAACCTCAGATGGTAGAAGGAACTGTTTTCATTTAAAAATGTAAAGCAATTCATCTGAAACCTTCTCCCATTTTGTGGCTCATAAAATAGAGTGAAGATTCCCTCCTAAACGTGAGACAGTTCACTGACTCCTTCTATTATGCTTTTGTCTTGTATCATTTATCACAACCTGCCTCCATGAGCAAGCAAAGCCGGATCGCCCATGCATATCTATTTTTAGAGCTAAATCGGATCGCTCCATTAATGCTGTCATTTTATTTCTACAAAGAAAGAGAACTTTGGATGAGCTTTTTTTGTTTTTTTGATAGGTTTGATCAGATGAGACTGCCTCACATTGTAGAGGGAGATAATGAAAGTATAGAACACTTTTGTGACAAATCCATTTCAACATGCACTGGAAAAACAATCTAGAAATAAGTAAAATATCTTAAATTAAATGCATTTACCCTTAATTTAAGTAGGTAAATGAGATGAATTGCCAATAGAATTAGTATTTTTACTCTTAAAATAAGATATTTAGATAAAATGCACTTGAAATAATGCAATGCATTTTTGTTTTTTTGTTTTTTTATATCATAAATTGTCTTGTTCCATTGGCAAAATGTCTCTTTTACCTCCTTTATCCTAGAACAAATGCACTTATTTTAAAAAACAATGACTTATTAAAGGGGAATTTCGTTTTTTTTTTATTGGCCCTTGATTTTACATTATTACATCATGTTCTACTCACCCATATGAGTTTTGTGTCATTTGGAGCCGTTCTGAAGATATTCTGTTAGGTTAAATCCAGAGATGGCAAAAGTACTCACTTGAGTAAAAGTAAGTAAAAGTACAGATACTTGTGTTAAAAAATACTCTGGTAAAAGTGGAAGTACTGATTAAACTTCTTTACTCAAGTAAAAGTAACAAAGTACAGGCTTGTAAATTTACTTAAAGTATAAAAGTAAAAGTAGAAACCACTTTTTTCATGCCGTTGCCTACATTTTAAATGGATGTCTGCCAATAGGACTAGATCTCCGTTGTGTTCATTTCCAATCATCTCGTCGTCCATGCTACTATGCTAACGCCACCGCCACCAAGCTGCAATGATTCGCCGCCAATGAATACCGCCGAATCTGTCGATTTATCTTGTAGTGGTGCGTCAAATGCAACGTAGATTCCCATCCAATTAGATTGAATTTGGTATTGATGACGTGAAAAATAATAACGGTAACTCCATTGAAATGATTCAAAACTAAAGTAACGAGCCAATTTTTTAAAATGTAAGGAGTAGAAAGTACAGATATTTGTGTAAAAATGTAAGGAGTAGAAGTAAAAAGTCGCCATAAAAATAAGTAGTAAAGTAAAGTAAAAATATCAGAAAAATCTACTTGAGTACAGTAACGAAGTATTTGTACTTCGTTACTTCCCATCTCTGGTTATATCCAAGTAACGTCTTCCTATGAGCAATCGACTTGAAGGCACAAACTAAACTGTTCATCATTTATTCTTTATGGTACACCAGCATTCAGAACATGTAGACGAATCACTGTTCCCCAGACATCCATGGTTTTATTTTTTATATTTATATGTTTTAAAAACAAAGCGGCGCATGTATGACGTCATCCGCGTGCCGGACTGGAGTTTTTTTTTTTTTCAAAAAAAACTTTATTTAACCAATGTACACTACACCAGGCGGCTACGCTCTACCTCTTATATATTCGGCTAGCTAATCTGAATCGTTTCATTCCATTCGGAGAGCGAGATCATCTGTGGCAGTAGCACTAGACAACTAGCAGCGGTTCAGCGAACAGGGTGAATGATAGGGGTGGAACGGTTCACAACATCCACGGTTCGGTTCATGGTTTTGTGGTCACGGTTTTCGGTTCGGTTCATGTTGATTGTTAGCATGACATGTTGGTCATGTTGCTCTTAGCATAAACAAAACGTGTTGCACAATGCTTGCACACTGCTGCAGTTTTATCCACAACTTTCTTTCCGCCGTCATCGTAGGTCACTCTATGCAAAGCGGTCCCATACAGCAGACCTATAAAGTGCTGCTGGCGCGTCTTCCAACTCCTGTTCTTTCCCACTCGCCATACCCACACAATTCTCCACAACAACTGATTTTTTTCTGCTAAGCTGCTTCGCTTCTTCTTCTTCTTGTTTACTACTGGTGGTTGGCTTTGGTCGCAGTACCGCCACCTTCTGCTCTGGAGTGTAAACGCTTCGCCTATGAAAAAATGGAGCAATCATGAACCGAACGCAACAAACGCGAACCGAACCGAGACAGTCGAACAGTTCTTATGGTTTTTATAAACCGTTCCATCTCTAGTGAATAAACGGTAGCCGGCGCTCGTGAATGACGTCATACACACGCCGCTTTGTTTTAAAAACATATAAATATTAAAAATATAACCGTGGATGTCTGGGGGACAGTGATTCCCCTACATGTTCTGAATGCTGGTGTATCATAAAGAATAAATTATGAACAGTTTAGTTTGTGCCTTCAAGTCGTTACTTGAATATAACCTAACGAAATATTTTCAGAACGGCTCCAAATGACACAAAACTCATATGGGTGAGTAGAACATGATGGAATAACGTAAAATCAAGGAACCAATATAATAAAAACGGCGTTCCCCTGTAAGATTTTGATTTTTTCCAGTGTGGTTGTTGCTCCCTGCTGTATGTGATGCTCACTAATACTTAAGTCTATAAACTGTATATAGTAACGGATGTGTTGTATTGTCTTGCAGGGATGTGATGAGCTTGGGAATCACACTAGTGGGCCACCAGAAAAAGATAATGAGCAGCATACAGACTATGAGAGCCCAGATGCTGCATCTTCATGGTACCGGCATCCAGGTGTGACGAGCTGCAACAGGACCCATCAGTCAGGGCAAGAGAACTCAAGCGAGACTTATCAGGAGCAGCGCCTGGGTGGCACCCGGCCCCATGGTCAAAGTCCACGGACATCTGCTGTGTCTGACTCCTCCTGCTGCGTCTGGAGGGAAATCATTCCTTTGTTCCTCGGCGAGGGAATGAGGTCCGTTTCTTCAAAGGGCACTAAAGAGAGAGAAAGGGCAAGAAACAGCAACAAAAAGCAACTACCTGTATGAGATGACTCTTTTTTTCTTTCCTGTTTGTAGAAGCGCTTCAGAACTCAATCACATATCAAAGGGGCGAGTTGGACAGGAGTTTTATTACCTTAATGATTGAAATAAGCGCACACCGTAGATGTGGATTTCCTTTACAAAGCAGACAAAAAAAGAAAAAGAAAAAAAAAACTTGCTTTGGTTCCTTTTTCTAAAGTCTTTTTTCTATGTGATTGCCACAAAGAAATGCTGTGGCACGCAGGACTTTTTCCCTTCTTCTCCTCTGATGTGACAACAGGGTAAATCTTATCCAGATGCCGGTGGAGCTTTGCATCTCAGACTTCCAGGTACTGTTTGAGTCACGTTGCAGTTTTTCTCTTTTCTTTAATGTGCTTTCTACATCATAACTGCATCCTGACGCGCTTGCTTCCTCTCCACAAATTAGCGGCTTTGCTAGAATCTCAAAAGTTGAAAGGAGTTTGCACAAACTGGCGATTTCTTTCCTCTAATCACCCATTTTTTATATCAGAGTAGCAATATCTGTCTTAATATTCACAACATGACTGTAAGAATCTGCGCGCACAGTTCAAAGATTGTAGGAAATTTGCAACCACCCATTGTTCTGCCCTCATTATGCTTGAAATGTTGCACATAATTTTGTTTTTTGGAAATGGTTGAAGCTGCAGATAATGTTAAAGGGTGAATCGCAGAACAGAGGAGATGTCATACTGCCTTAAAACATGTTTAGATTTAGTATTGCCGATGTTTTTAGGTACTTTAAATGGTGATGCTTTCTGTGGCTCCTTTGGAGGGCTTTTTGTCACTTTTTTTTTTTTTTGTTTTCTTATAACTTGTGGTATTGTGTCTTCTGATCTTGGACTTGATCTGGTGTGCACAAACTCAAATGATTGCAGAGGAATAACAGAGTCAAGAGGGGGAGAGTTTGACTAAAAGAGCAATAATTACCAGGGAGAAACAGTCTTCACCAGAGATCCTTTAAGGTGCTAGATATGAAAGGCATGTCGTTGTGTGCTGACCATCCCTTTGGAGAGATTCCGTCACCCCCTGACAGGGAAAAAGGAATGTACTTCTGTGACCTGGAACGGTTCGGAGAGCGCTCCGTTGCCGAGTCATCAAATGAAATCGTCTTGTTGTGTTTTGCCTCTATGATATGGTAAACATTTGATGAAAATCTAACATGGCGTGGAAATGTCGAACAGAGTTGTTGCAAAAGATGAAAGTCGCGCCATTTGAAACTAAAAAGGTGCCAATTAGCCATGCTAACATCATCCTCCAACACATTGCACCACCAAAACCAAAAGGATGGAGTCTGCGTCAGAAGCAGGCCTAGCTGGCTAATCCTTCCGTCCTGGCTCTGCGGGCGGCCATGCAGCTCCTCTTGTTTGTTAAAGCCTCTCCGCTGCTCGGCCCCCCCACAGGCGTGGATGTGATGGAACGTGCACCCAAACGTGCGCCTCTTTTCGTCCGTGGGACTCTGGGTGGAGAAACGGAGCAGAAACAGGAGCTTGTAGGGGGGGAACGATGCGTTTTAAACCTGATCAACCTCTTTGGTGCCATCTGTCTCCACTTCAGAAACATCCAAAAGGTTTTCTTCTTAGCTGAATGTGACTTATTGCAATTTTCTTTGATAGGAAAATGTATTAATCCAGCTGTCAACTAAAGGGGGAGTGTGCTCGCCAATAAAAAAACAAACGCCGTTTCTCACTGCTGCTGTAACATCGATGGGTTCCTGAAATTTTAAAGATGGCCGCCATTTCTTATATTACAAAGAACACAGAGGAACAACCGCTTCAACCTCAATGCCATTAAGGAACAGGAGAAGCAGCTAAATCTTTACCCAGCGTTTGGCATTTCGGTGCACTAACATGTTTCTATTGAAACGATAAGGCAGGCGGATCCAGCCATTGAAAACAGGAGATATAAGAAGATATTAATATGAATAGAAATACTGTCCTGCTTTAGTGTTGATAGGGGTTGAGAGCAAATGAAAACTGAAAAAACAGCGTTAGTACAGGGTGTTAAAAGATTAAATGAAATGAAAACGTCACATTTTCTTGAAGGTGAAGTTAAAATTTTAATTAGTCAGAAACATTTCTGTATTTTAGGTTTAATGGACTAATAATTTGCTGAAAATCTAACCTAAACTAAATTTTTCTTCAAATAATCTTGAATTTAGTTCGTAAATTAGACACTTTGCCAATGGAAATAGACAATTTTACGGTGGCCCTGAAGTGCAAACTGAAACTACAAATCTAAAAGCGGAACTACATTAAGGAAATCGCAACTACATTAAGAAAAACACAATTTCATTAACCTACTGGAAAAGGTAGGTACCAGTGGGAAACATGAGACATGGCTGATTGGACGACGGAGCGGTTTGACCCTTGAACTTGAAGTCATTCTGCCTGCTGCGGCTTTTGAAAACATGGATATTGTCAGCGCCCCAAACATAGCTGCCGTTATCCAGGAATATTTTGAATCAGGACATACGTACGAGGTGATACTGGATATGCTCAAGACTAATCACGAAATCACGACGCTGGACTGTTCAGACGACGAAACTTCCGGTTCAAGGGTCAAACGGCGCCGTCGTCCAATCAGCAATGTGTCATGTTTCCCACTGGTACCTACCTTTTCCAGTAGGTTAATGAAATTGTGTTTTCCTTAATATAGTTGCGCTTTGCTTTATGTAGTTGCGATTTCCTTAATGTAGTTGCGCTTTGCTTTATGTAGTTGCGATTTCCTTAATGTAGTATCGCTTTGCTTTATGTAGTTGCGATTTCCTTAATGTAGTTGCGCTTTGCTTTATGTAGTTGCGATTTCCTTAATGTAGTTGCGCTATGCTTTATGTAGTTGCGATTTCCTTAATGTAGTTGCGCTTTGCTTTATGTAGTTGCGATTTCCTTAATGTAGTATCGCTTTGCTTTATGTAGTTGCGATTTCCTTAATGTAGTTGCGCTTTGCTTTATGTAGTTGCGATTTCCTTAATGTAGTTGCGCTTTGCTTTATGTAGTTGCGATTTCCTTAATGTAGTTGCGCTTTGCTTTATGTAGTTGCGATTTCCTTAATGTAGTTGCGCTTTGCTTTATGTAGTTGCGATTTCCTTAATGTAGTTGCGCTTTTAGATTTGTAGTTGCAGTTTGCACTTCAGGGCCACCGTACAATTTACATTTAAAATAAGAAAACAAAAGTGTATTGTCTTATTTCAAGAGTATAAATACTCATTCTATTGGCAAAAAGAGGCTAAATATACTGAATTTAAGACATTTTTACTTCTTTCGAGATGTTTTTTCCAGTGCAGGAATTAGCCCTGACCAGCAGCCTTTGTCGCACACTCCCTCCTCTCACCCATACAGCAGAGCTCAGCAGTTGGGTTTCAACCAGACCTTTGAATTGAATACAGGCATGAAGTCATTCAGTCAGCACTAAACTCCCAGGTTTACAGACAACAGCCCTTCTCTCACCCAGCTCTCCACTTCATGGTCTAATTTATAACCTGGCTCTAAGGTTCCTCACTCCCATCTCTACAAGGTCTTTTTATTTTTCTCGTTGCTTGTGAGGCAGCAGTTGAAGCCAAACTGAGATTAACGCCAGGCTACAATCGATTCAGCGTCCGAATCACCTGCAACTTTTACAAACCGCCGTGGTGTGGGGTTTCTGCTCATTTTATTGGCATGCTTTGTTTGGGGTCGCTTAGCTCTGGATTATAACGATTTTGATTTAAAACAAAGTAATAAAATCATCTTTAAAAAAATAAATAAATACGAAAAAGACCAAAAAAAAGAAAGCAGAAGACTGCAGGTAACAGAGCATTGGCTGAAATCAGGAATGACAGAGAATGAAGTTATTTTTTAAATCAAGATGTCGAGAAGCTGGACGGAAGCGTTTCGGGGAGGTGCTGGATATTTCCAAAGACGGCCACACTGGTGTCAGAAAAACAGCTGAGCTTTGAGGGGATCTTTCAGTAGGTTTGAATTGTAAAGCTTGTACAATTTATTTATATGGTTTTTTTACACCTATTACTCAGTAGAGCTCTGAATACATGGAAAATGCACTATATTTTTATATCTCACAGATGAATTATTGTCATCCACAGGATTTCAGTTGTACATATTTTTGTTTTTCATTTAGGACCAAAGACGACTGATAGGACTTTCATCTTTAACCTAGACTTCGTTTTCATGTTGCCTTTAGTTTCTTGTACAGTGATGCAAATTGTTGATTTATTATTTATTTTTCTGTGATGAAAGTATTGAGAAAATTCACTGGTCAAACGTATTTTCCCCAACAGCGGAAATGTGAGATGATTTAATTAGATAACTTCTTGTTACATAGACGATTCTTTTTGCTTTGTAATCTTTGTAATAGACTGTACATATATTTTTGGAAATATAATACAATCTCTACAGAAAAGTGATGTGTCTGTTGTGGTTTGTTTTGCTTTGTTCTTGCTTTTTTCCTTTTTTCATCCAATTTAATAAAAAGTATTTTTTAATACCCGATTTCATCCTCAGTATCACTTAGAGTTACATAACCTTTATTGTCATTTTGTACACTTAGAGTTTATACAAAATAAAATTTCGTTCAGTTCAGCTCTCAAGACATTTCCATTTCTTAAAGTGCAGTAGTGATCAAATGTAAACATAGGACTGAAGTTATGAATGACTTTTTTCCCCCCCATTCTATTCAACATTCATCAGTCTAATGGCGGTGGGGAAGAAGCTGTTTCTGAACCTGCTGGTCCTGCATTGAATGCTGTGAAGCCTCTTCCCAGAGGACAGCAGGGAGAACAGTCCATGGTGGGGGGGTGAGGGGTCAATGATGATGTCACGGGCTCTGGACACGCAGCGCTGGGATGAAATGTCTTTAATGGAGGGAAGAGGAGCCCCCATGATCCTCTCTGCTGTTCTCACCTTCTTCCAGTCTGAGGCGCTGCAGCCTCCACAGTGAGACAGCTGGTCAGAACGCTCTCTATGGTGCTTCTGTAGAAGGTGGGGAGTATGGGTGGGGGCAGGTAGGCTCTCCTTATCCTCCACAGGAAGTACAAGTGATTCTGGGCCCTTTCAATCAGTGAGGTGGTGTTTGCTTTCCAGGTGAGGGTGTCTGTGATGTGCACCCCCAATCAAACAAAAAGTGTTTTAAATAATTATGCTTGTTGTAAGGTTTGGCAGTTTGGACCTCTGTAGTGGCTTTTAATAACTCAATAACTGACCTCAAATAAGACAGAACCATGTAAAGTTAAAATGTTTAAATACAGACAGAACGACGGATATTTTTCATTGGATGTTATATATCTATCTATATATATATATATCTATATATATATATAGATATATATATATATATATAAATATATATATATATATTTTTATGGGGCTTTTATAAAAAATGACAACACTTTTCCTGAAGTAGATGTGTAGAAAAAATGAGGCCGTTTTTTTTAAAGGGTCTATATTACAAAACATAATTAGGACCACAAAGAAAAAGTCCCTAGAAAAAAAAAAATAAAGTTTCTTCATTTTATCCATTGCAATAATAAACTTAAAGGAATAGTACACCCAAAACATGATTAGCCTTCATTTTCTACTCACCCCCATGCTGAACAACACTCTGGAGTACATTTTTGATATCTCAAATGCATCTGGAGATCTGGGAGGCTTCTTGCTGTCTGCTGACATTCAAATAATGGAGGTCTATGGCGCCCGAGGCAGAAAGGTCCATAAAAGTCCACAAAAAACGTGTCAATATTCCTCCATACTGCTCGTCCAATGTATTCCAAGTGTCCTAAGTGGGTAGCATCCAGAATTTACTCGAAACGAAGTCATTTAGAATGTTTTTAGAGCATAAACAGTAGTGTATAGGATTTCCTGAAAGCGCGATCACGACGCTACGGAAACCGCGGCAGACCAAACCAGCGCATTCAGCTCGGCAAAGAACTCATGCTCTTCCTCAACACTGAAGTCCTCAGACATTTTTCTTTCGTTGTTTCTTTCTTTGCACAGGTAAACAGCACATTTCTTCTTCTACGCTTGCATTATCGGCAGAGCAGACGGTGAATGCGCACTTTCATCTGGTTTGGTCTGCCACGGTTTCCGTAGACTTGTGAACGTGCTTTCAGGAAATCCTATACACTAC